AGAAAGGACCCTCGCTGGAGAACGGTCATGCCGCAATCCCTTCTCCTCCCTTTCTTCAGCCTTTCAGGAAGCATGCGCACCCAGCATGTAGAGTATGCCACCTCTGAGACGTGTAATTACTGCCGACCACAGACGACTGTGAGGCGGAGGGTGCTGGTTTGTGTCTCTGTGTGCACACAGATATGCACTGTGTATGAGAGCACCTAAAACCAGGGAGAGAAAACAGTTTAACCTGCACTGGCATTTTGATCAAATTGTAAGGTTATACTCTTTTATTATTTATTTAAAATAATATCAATTTAATTTTATTCCTTTATTTAATTCTTTTTAAGAGAGATTTTTACTATAAAGCATGTGTGCTCACTGGAGAGACAGAGAGACAGAAAGCGAGAAAACAACCCTCCCAGGGGGGTTGGCCATGGCACAGTCCCTTCTCCTCCATTCTTTTTTTTTTAAAAAAAAGAATTATTTTATTTTAACTTTATTTATTATTATTATCATTATTATTTTCCAGTTTGATCAGAGAGACACACCTACAAAGAGAGAGGAAGCGAGAAAGCAAGCCACCAGGTCTGAGACTTGAACCATGGTTGGCCATGTGGGAGTCCAGCACCTTTAACCACCATGCCATTTGCCAGCCCCCTCCATTCTCCTCTTGGGATGGGTATGCACACACACTCACCTGGCATGAGTTTCAAGCCACCAGGACCGGGACTCAAACCATAGTCAGCCATGTCGGAGTCCAGCGATATAACCATTACATCATCTGCTAGTTTATTTATTTATTTTTAATTTGACCAGAAAGAGACAGAGTTGTGGGGGGAAGTGAGGAAGCAAGCTGCCAGGTTCAGGACTCTCTCTCTGGTCAGCCACGTGGGAGTCCAGCTACTCAACCCCCCGTCAGCCCCAGGTAAGGTAATACTTATAATACTCAGACTAGAGCCAGCCTGGGGAACCGCCGGTAGCAAACTGGACTGTTGTGCTGGAAGCCACAAGGCTGACCCCGAATTCAGATCGCAGGGTGACCCGAAACCACACTGGGTGTGTACATGAATGCCCACGGTCCTAATGAGCTAGAGGGCCAGGGCAAGAGGAAAGATGCTCAGCCCAGAGCAAGGAGATGGTCCGGGGACATGGAGAACATTTTCTTTATTTCTGGTTTTTCTGGGGGGAGGGGGTTGTCATTACCAAACATTAATTAATTAATTAATTAATCTCATGAACCGACATAGACTCAAAGGAAAATATAACTTGATTATGTCTGTCCTGCTGCCTCTTGTTCTATTATTAATTAATTTATTTTACATTCATTCATTGAGCATCAGCATCATCACAGCATACAAAGTGAGATTTCCCAGCCAGAAAACACCGCACAGTAGCTTCGTCATGCATGTTATTGTCAACTACTTTTCCATTCCCTGTTTCATATATATATTTCCCTATTTCCCATCCTCCTCCCACGCTGTCTCTGGTGTCTGCCGTTGCTTTCCACTCCTTTTATTTCCCCCCACGTTTTATTGATTCACAAAATATCTTAATCAATCTAACTACTTTGAATAGCAAGTTCAACTGATATATCCCTGTCTGTGAACACACGTCTGACTTTAGGTGTGAAACTGTGAGGAGAATGAATATGCCATAAACTAGCACCTAGCTTACTGTGGTCATTCAATAGGTGGTTTTTAAAATATATGTCTAAGTTAAAGAAAAGCAGTTTTAGCTTTAATAAATCAAAATTTTAAAACTGCTAAGAGAGCTTTTCTTTAAACTTAAAGTCAAGAAACTGGCTAGGATTCTGTTCAAATAGTAGGTCCATGAACAAGACAAAAATCCTTAAATCTGGAAAACAGAGCCTAGAGGAAAATCAGTAACGTTTTAGTCCAAATAATGAGCGACTCCTCGCCATGTTTCAGAAAAGCGACTCCTTTGCTTAGGAGCAGGACGTGTGTTCATCCCACACTGACACGGGCTTACCATTGTTCAACCCACAGGCGGAAGGGCTCCTGGATGAGGGGCTTTCATTTTTCACTCTGAGCGGAGGAGAAGGCTCAGCTTTGGACCAGTCTTCAAAGCAGGTTTGATTCGCTCCTCTCTCCTCGCATCCTCACTCTCGGGAGACAGTGCTCATTTTGCAGGCCTAGAATGAAACACTTGGACGGGAGATGAGGGTTCTCTGATTGCATCTCCCCCTGCTCTTTGAACTGAGAAGCTGTTTATGACAAGACCTAACATTGATTAAGTTAAGTGCGTACTGGGTGCCCAGTGGTAGACTAAGATTTTTTTCTGGTTTTGTTTTTGTAGAAGTTTTTGCCTTAGGGTGTGTGTGTGTGTGTGCTTGCTGGAGAGAGAGGGGGAGAGAGAGAGACAGTGAGAGGAAAAGTGAGAAATCACCCCCCAGAAGGGTATGGCCACGCTGCAGTCCCTTCTCCTACACGGCTACACTGTAGTCCCTTCTCCTCCTGTGATCTTGGACACACACGCACATGTGTCCAGCATGATTTTCAAGCCACCCAGGTCTGGGACTTGAACCACAGTTAGCCATGTGGGCGTCCAGCGATATAACAGCTACGCCATCTGCTGGCTCTAGATTAAGTTTTAAAAGAAAATTGTGTCATTCACTCTTCATAATAACACCGTGAAACAGGTATTAGGACTTTCATTCTTTTTTTAGAATAATTTATTTTAATTTTATTTATCATTATTATTTTTTGAGAGATTTTTGCTATAGGGTACATATGATCACTAGAGAGACAGAGAGACTGAAAGCAAGAAATTATTCCCAGGGGGAATGGCCACACTGCAATCCCTTCTCCATTTTCCTCTCAGCATTTAGGGGATGCATGCACATACGCCCAGCGTGGTTTTTCTTTTTTTTAGAGGTTTTCGCTGTAGGGCACGTGCGCTTGCCAGACAGACAGAGAGAGACAGAGAGACAGAAAGTGAGAAATCACTCCCCAGGGGAGATGGCCACGCCGCAATCCCCTCTCCTCCCTTCTCCTCTTGGGATCTTGGGCATGCACAAACATGCGCCCGGCATGAGTTTTAAGCCACCGGGTCCCGGACGCTAACCGTGGTCGACTACATGGGAGTCCAGCGACATAGCCATTACACTAACTGCTGGTCCCACGCCCAGCGTGTTTTAAGCCACTGGGTCCAAGACTTAAATCGGAGTCGACTACATGTGAGCTCAGCAATGTAACCCTGCCAACTGCTGGTCCCTCATTATTATTTTTTAAAATTTACTACAGGGCACATGTGTTCACCAGAGAGTGAATGACAAAGCAAGTGCCAGGTCCAGGACTTGAACTGAGGATGGCTGTGTGGGAGTCCAGCGCCCCAACCCACACCACATGCTGTCCCACGACTTTCCTTTTGTAGGTGAGGAAACTGAGGCACAGGGGTTTGAACACTGGTGGAGCGGGCAAGTGCAGGCTGTCGGCTCCGAAGCCTGCGCTTGCTTTTCCTTGTCCTGTCTCTCTCCGAGTCCTCACAGTGCTCTCCACAGTCTGTCACTCTCTGTGTCTCCCCACTCTTCACCCCCCTGGTGCAACCCCAGACCCTTCTAACTTCTGTCAGTTCCTGCTCTTCTCCAGCCCCTCGGGCCCCGTCACTCTGGTTGCCCTTTCCTCTGGCTAGTCAGTCTGGCTAGTCTCCCCGTCTCCTCGGACTTGTCTGTCTGTCTGGCCAGCTTCTGTCCGTGTATGTTCTCCAATTCCTCTGTTCCCTCAAGTCTCTCTTGTTGTCTTGAGCCCCCTGCCACCAATTACTTGCTATTCCAGGGGTCCCCCCCAAATATTTTCTGACACATTTAGTCATTTCCCAAACCTTCAGGTTCTCCTTGGATCCCTCCTTCAGGTCCTGCTTGGACCCCCCCCCCCCTTTTCCTTCCTGCTTGGCCCCCCCCCCCCTTTTGCCTTACCACGTACTCCCACCCCTTTCTTTGCATTTGCTCCAATTTTTTCATTCGTTTTTTGTTATTATTTTCTTACATGATGAAAAGTCATCTTTTAAGAATTTCAATAAAGGGTGGCATAGTGGCTATCGTGCTGGACTCCCACATAGCCAACAATGGTTAGAGTCCCAGATCCGGTGGCTTGAAACTCACATCTGGTGCATATGTGTGCGTGCCCAAAACCCTGGGAGGAGAATGGAGGAGAAGGGATGGTGGCATGGCCATTACCCTGGGGAGTGATTTCTCACTTTCTCTTACTTCATCTTTCTGTGACTCTGGTGAGTGTATGTGCCCTATAGCAAAAATCTCTCTTTCTAAAAAAAAAATTTTTTTTTGAATAAAATCTACGCATTATAAAAACTTAAGGCAAAAGTTAAGGAATGGGTCAGGAGGTGGTAGGGAGGTTAGGATGGCTGGATTCCACGTAGCTGACTCCACAATCTGGGTTCTGGACCCCACAGCTTGACAAAAAAAATTAAAAAGAGAAGACAAACGCACCAGATGTGCATGCATGCGTACCCAAGATCCCAAGAGGAGAGTAGATAGGAAGGGATTGCAGCGTGGCCATGCCCTCCCGGGGGGTGATTTCTCTCTCTGTGTGTGTCTCAGTGAGTTCATGTGCCTATAGCCAAAACTAAAAAAAGAAAAAAAAAAAAGATAAAAAAATTGAGGAAGAAATAAAAATCTTCTGAAATCACTCTGATCACACTTTTCTGAGATGATCACACTTTTCTGAGATAACCACTATCATTTTTTTCCATAACTTTCTGTATGGTTTTGGCCCCCCTCCCTCCCCACACACAGAGTTTTATATAAATGGAATCCTAGTAGTAATTGGCAATTCATTTTTCCAGTTGTTCAGCCAAACCTTGGTGACTTCTTGGATCCTCTTTCGCTCAAGTACTTGTATCCAGTTCATCACAAACCCTGTTGCTGTTACAGAACCTCAGCATATCTGGGAATCTGACCTGCCTTCACTGGTACCACTCCGGTCTCAGCCCTGTCACTGCGCCTCTGCATCGTCTTCACGCTTGTTATTGCCCTTGTATCTACCTTCCATATCATGCAGGGGCCAGAGTGATACTGTTAGCGGTTTTCTGTCTCACTCAGAATAAAGGCGGAGTCCTCACAGGGGCCCGCAGGGCCCACGTGAGCTGGTGCTCCTAGGCCCTCTCTGACTTCATTTCTTACTGTTGCCAGCCTCTGAATAACAAGCAAAGGGAGAGACTCCTAAGAAATTATATTTATTCTGGAATGAGCACTGCACGCAGAATGCGCTTGTCAGAGTAAACAGCAGGTGTGCTTAGGGAGGTAAGGGAAGACGGGTTTTAAAAGGAAAATGAGAGGACTACGTGAGGTGTTTTAGGACAATGATCCCTGGCCACCAGGATCAATAGCAAGGGTGCATCAGTTCAAGGTCGGGCAGCCAGTTCCTGGGCAGATGCCCTGCAGAGTGGTTTTTTTTTTTTGTTTGTTTGTTTGGTTTTTTTTTTTGCACGCACACGCGCCCGGCGTGAGATCTAAGCCACCGGGTCCGAGACGCGAACCGCGGTCGACTATGTGGGAGTCCAGCGACATAGCCACTACGCTAACTGCTGGTTCCCTGCAGAGTGGTTTTGAGTAAGGCTGCAGTGGCCTCCGTATATGGCTGTGGCTCTGACAGATCCCTGTGACAGTCCTCGTTACCAGACGCACATGCATGCGGACCACCCCCTTTCTTGGCTCGGTTGATGTATTTGTTTCTCTGTTTGTTTGACTTTTGACCCAGGAGCTCCATTTTGATCCTGACAGCTTTCACTCTGCCTCCCCCAGCCCTCATCCAGCTGCAGGAACGTTCTTCCTGGTTCTCATGGGCAGGTGCTCTGGCCTCGGGGTCTTTGCACCTCTGTCTGCCTAGGCAGCTCTCTCTGTGTCTTCATGCTCCATCCCTCACTAACTTTGGGCCTCTGCTCAAATGACACTCACCCCAGATACTGTGACTGACAGCCTTATCTAAAACAGTACCCCCAGGACCAGCAGATGGCGTAATGACTATGTTGCTGGACTCTCAGGTAGTTGACCATGGCTCGAGTCCCGGAACCGATGGCTTAAACTCATGCTGGGCGCGTGTGCGTGTGTGCCCAAGATCCTGAGAGGAGAATAGAGGAGAAGGGATTGCGGTGTGGCCATCCACCTGGGGGGTGATTTCTCGCTTTCTGTCTCTCTGTCTCTTTCTGTCTTTCTGGCGAGCACATGCACCCTATAGCAAAACCCTCTCAAACAAACAAACAGACAAACAAACAAACAAACAAAACAGTACTCCTAACCCACCCAGCCCAGAATTCCCTCTCCCTTGCCCTGCTTTATTTTCCCTCACATGCTTCACCAGCTGACATCTGTTTCTTGGTCTGCCTGTTGATTTTCTCCCTGGGACACGGTAGGTACTCAATGAATAGATGGAATATTGAGTAAAGGGGCATCAGCACACTCATGCTCTTAAATGCGAGTCCCAGCCTCCCAGCATCCCACTATGTGGGTTAAGGAACAGGCTTTTCTGGGAGAGCAAGAGAAGGCCTTGTCCCTGTTCTGCCTGCCCAGCAGAGTATGCAGGGCCTGTACTGTGGTCACATCTGCCTTTTTCTCATGGGGCGAGCACGAGAGGGCTCAAGACGGGTGTATGGGGTGTGCCCGGGCATGAGGAAGTTCGAGTCCAGGTCCGAGCTGTTTAGAGGGCTTCTTTGCCAACCTGTCTGCTCTTTGGAGCCCATGGGAAACTACCACTCATCATAGGGAGGAGAAATCTATGTTGTGGCGAGTTGAGTTAGTGTGGTCTCTTACTTCTGGGAAGAGGGAGCTCTGGCCCCAAACACCCCATATGGGTGACTAGCGTGAGATCTGAGTTCACTCTCGAATGGTTCTGCTTGTCATACCAGCTAGCAAGTCGCGTTCCTCTGAAACAGGGCAAGGGTGGTACTCTGTCTTCCTCCACAACACTCATCGGTGTCGTCTGGACTTAGATCTTCTGCCCGCGTACTCCTGTCACAGCGAATAGCTGTGAGCTGCATAGTTAAGACCAGGAGGGTGACCTAGGAGAGCAGCCGGGCTTAGACCAAACAAAGAGGCTTGTAACGATCAAGATCACAGCGTGTCACAACCCAGAGATAGGCCGATTGGGTCAGATTCATGGAGGAGACCAAGTGGGTCGTGAATCAGAGGGTGGGGTCTAAGATGAGAGGCCAAGAAACTGAGCTATCGGGAAGACCCGAGTCTGAAGGCAGGTTAAAGGCCCCGTCCTTCTCAGAGGTGCTGTGAAGGAAGCTTGGTGACGGGAGCTCAGGGGGTCCTTTTCAGTCTATGATTGGAGTGTTCACAGAGACCCCTCACATGGAGATTCCCCGAAGCATGCTTTACACTGCAAGGACGCCTGGATATTAAATATTTTCTTTATTTTGTGACAGGAGTAGTACGGGGTTGCTGATATGATGACTTGATATGGACCTAGGTGACGCTTCGCTTGGTTACTGATTTATTGTTGTCAGAGCTGATCAAGGCCATTTAAGCATCTCTTTTCAAAGGAATTCTGTGACTAATCATTTTTATTTTATTATTTACTCTGAATGTATGTTTTTAGGAATTGAGGGGTTTATTTGCTTGACTCACGTGGGCTCTGTGTTGTTCAGTATATGTACATCTCAAATTAGACAGGTAAAGTCATCCAAAGTAATTTGATGATTTTGTTTTTGTGAATATACTCATTAAATTTCTGATTACGGGGGGAACCAGCAGTTAATGTAATGGCTATGTCGCTGGACTCCCACGTAGTCGACTACGGTTCGCATCCTGGACCCGGTGGCTTAGAACTCACACCAGGCGCATGTGCGTGTGTGCCCAAGATCTCAAGAGGAGAATGGAGGAGAAGGGATTGCGGTGTGGCCATATGCCCTGGGGAGTGATTTCTCGCTTTCTGTCTCTATGTCTCTCTCTGTCTGGCGAGTGCACGCACCCTATAGCGAAACACCTCTCAAAAAAAATATAATAATTTCTGATTATGAGGACCAGTAGCTGGCATACTGGTTATATCACTGGACTCCAACATAGTCGACTGTGATTCAAGTCCCTGACCCGGAGGCTCAAAACTCATGCAAGCCATGTGTGCATGCATGCCCAAAATCCCTAGAGGAGAATGGAGGGGAAGGGATTGTGGCATGGCCGTTCCCCATGGGGAGTGATTTCTTGCTTTCTGTCTCTCCAGCAAGTGCATGTGCCCTATAGCAAAAATCTCTTTAAAAACTTCTGATTATGACATAAAATATGTATTTTAGTATTTATCTGTTTTCATACCTATATTCAGGTTTCTTATAACTTTTTGTGTTTTCATATTTTATAATTTCACTGTAATCATTCTGCCTTAGGCCTCTATGTTGAATCTTTTTTTTTTTTCTTTTCTCTTTTCTTTTCCTTAAGTATTTTCTGAAAAACAGTATGCCAACTCCACATCACTTTAGGTAGTACTACTTTCTGAATGATGAAAAAAAAATATGGGGTTTAAGACCACATGGTCTAAGGGCTGGCAGGTGGCATGGTGATTAGAGGTGCTAGACTCCCACATGGTTGACTGTGGATCGAGTCCCAGACCTGGTCTCTCTCTGTCCCTCTCTGGTCAAATTAAAATAAAATAAATAAAGTTAAATAAAATAATTCTTTAAAAAAAAAAAAAAGACTACATGGTCTAATAGCGCTGCACCCTTCCGTATGCTATGAGTGTCATAGTACCTCAGCACACTGTTCACAGGGACAAGGGGCTTAAATGATATGTCTACTTCAGCCACCTTTCACTGGAGAATTTCAATGGGCTCTAGAAAAATCATGCTGCATTTTACTGAGCCTTAAATGAGTTCTTCTCTGTTCAGTGAAACGTCATTGTAACGCAGTTTCAGCTAGAACTTCATTTGGGTGGCAAAGATCAGGAAGACAGTTCACTAGTAGGGTTCCAAGACTTTTAATTTTTCTGCATATTAACTGCTGGAGATAAGCATATAGACTTATTTTTCTTTTGGTATCTAACAGAGGCCAGTAAATGATATTTATCCCAAACACTTCTCACTTGGTGACACTTCACAAAATGTTGCCGAGGGCCAAGATGAGGATTTTGTGGAAGAAGTCATTTTTGCAGATTTACTTGAAGTCAAAGCTGCTGAATATGAAGATGATCGAGAACAAATAAAAACACGGCAGGCAGATATATTTGTGCCCAGTAGTTCTCCAGGTAATGTCCTTCCCCAGTAGTTTATTCAAGTAATTGATGGATCGTTGTGCAGGACAATAGCTTCTTTGTGTGCTGAATAAGTACAAAGTACTGCTCCGAAATTCTAGTGCGTTTTCTATGTATTTGTTCTTCATGGCTCTGTTTCGTGGTAGGGTGTAGTGATGGGCCACAATGAAATGGCTCTTATTCGGTCAGTACCAGTTTAATATGTTGGAACTTAAAGTAATATCTAAGTTCTGTCATTAAGTGCTCAACCAGTCTAAACTGCCGAAAGACATGATGCCACGCATTTTGGAAGAGGAAGGATTGTACGTTCAGCGAAGGCCGGAAGTATATAAAAAGACCTGCAACAAGATGGAAAATCGCCTCCTTAAGTTGGAAGAGGCAAGTGTGCCAGCCAGCAAGTTGAACCACTCTCTGATAGTTTGTAATGGAAGGTCTGTTGTTAGTGAAATTGCCACTTACCGTATATTTCTTCAATATTTTTGATAGGGAAAGTGTTGGTTTGAAGAAAGTGGAGAAATAATGTCATTACCTTCACCATTTAGACAGTCATGGCGTTTTAGACTAAATATAAGCAAGGGACCGTTAAACCCGGCACTAACGACCATATACAGGAAGGTAAGTAGCAGCAATATACTTGAAGTTATGGTGAGAATTCTTGTCATTTCAATTGTACGTTATGTTCTTGTGTCGTTAACTTACCCTTTAAAGTCCAATAATATAATGACGAGATGTTAAGTCGCTCTTAAAAATTACATTGTTGGAACCAGCAGTTGGCGTAATGGCTATGTCGCTGGACTCCCACGTCGTCGACCGCGGTTCGTGTCCCGGACCCGGTGGCTTAAAACTCACGCCGGGCGCGTGTGCGTGCGTGCCCAAGATCCCGAGAGGAGAATGGAGGAGAAGGGATTGCAGCGTGACCATCCCCCCTGGGGGGTGATTTCTCGCTTTCTGTCTCTATGTCTCTCTCTGTCTGTCTGGCGAGCACACGCGCCCTACAGTGAAAATCTCTCCAAAAAAAAAAAAATTACATTGTTGAGGAATATTTAGTGGTTAAACATGCCAGGCACGTGTGTTTGTGTGCCTCAAATCCTGGCAGGATGGAGAAATAAAGGAGAAGAGATTATGGCATCAGCACACCCATTGGTGCGTGCTTCTTCTCTCTCCCCCTCTCGCTCACTCTGGTGAGTTTACATGACCTCTGGCAATTAAAATGAAGTGTGAAGTGAAAGAAAGCAGAATACAGAATTATATAGTATCTTAATTTTATTAAAAAACAGATAACGAATGGATGATACTCAAGGTAGCCACTATTATAACTTCTTTTTTTTTTTTTTTTGAGAGAGGTTTTTGCTATAGGGCGCGTGCGCTCACCAGACAGACAGAGAGAGACAGAGAGATAGAAAGCGAGAAATCCCCCCCCAGGGGTGTTGGCCACGCCACAATCCCTTCTCCTCCATTCTCCTCTCGGGATCTTGGGCACGCACACACATGTGTCCAGCTTGAGTTTTAAGCCGCCAGATCCGGGACTCAAACCTCGGTCGACTACATGGGAGTCCAGCGACATAGCCATTACACTAACTGCTGGTTCCCGCCACTATTATAACTTCTACCATTGTAGATTATGCTTGCCTGTTGGTTCTGTCCATTTTATAGAAGCATAATCATAGAATAGGTACTCTCTCTGTGTCATTGTCCAAAGACATACTTTGCTCATTTTCGGGGCTATATAGAACTCCAAAGAAAGTATTTATTGGTATCCGTTCTGCTTTTGACGGATACAAGTTGCATCCATTTGTTGACTATTACTAATAGCCTAAGTTTTCCATATCTTCTGGCAACTATATTTGATTTCTGTCAGGTAAATCACTCAGAGTAGAAATGCTGGGTTATCCATTGTGTGTGCTCGGTTTTGCTGTTCACCACCACCGTCCCAGTCAACCTTTATGACCACCAGAATCCCGAGTTTGAAACTGCCGGGCTGAACAAGTAACCTTGTCTTCTAGTGCATCCGTTCTAGCTTTATCCAAGCACAATTTCAGTATTTTATAGACTCTCAGAGTTAGGAATAAGTATAAAGGTCACTTCATCACATGTCTAAACTGAGTACTAAAATTCATTCTGTAGATGCTATGATTTAAATATGGCCCTTTCAAAATTCAAGTGTTAGAACCAGCAGATGGCATAATGGTTTCATTGCTGGACTCCCATGTAGTTGACTGTGGTTCGAGTTCCGGACCTGGCAGCTTAAACCTCATACTGGGTGTGTGTGCGTGCGTGCCCAAAATCCCAAGAGGAAAATGGAGAAGAAGAGATTGTGGCATGGCCATCCTCCCAGGGAGGTGATTTCTCTCTGACTCTCTGGCTCCCTGACAAGTACACATGCCCTATAGCAAAAATCTATAACAACAACAACAAAATATTCAGGTGTTGCCAATACAATACTATTTTTTTTAAAGAACTATTTTTTATTTAACTTTATTTATTATTATTTTTATTTTCCAGTTTGATCAGAGAGAGAGAAGGAAAGTGAGAAAGCAAGGCGCCAAGTCTGAGACTCGAACCGTAGTTGACTATGTGGGAGTCCAGTGCACCACACCACCTGCTGGCCCCGCCAATAAAATACTGTTAAGAGGTGAGGTCTTTTTTTTTTTTCAAAGAGGTTTTTGCCTTAGGGTATTTGTGCTTGCCTGGGGGAGAGAGAGATACACACAGAGACAGTGAGAGGAAAGTGAGACATCACCCCCCAAGGAAGCATGGCCACACCGCAGTCTTCTCTTCTCCATTCTCCTCCTGGGATCTTGGGCATGTGCCTGTTGTGACTGTGCCTGGTGTGAGTTTCAAGCCACTGGGTCTGGGACTTGAACCACAGTCAGCCCTATGGGAGCCTAGCAACATAACTGCTGTGCCACCTGCTGTCCCCAAGAAGGGAGGTCTTTTTCTGGGGGGAGAGGTTTTTGCTATAGGGCTGGGCACGCACACACACGTGCCTGACATGAGTTTAAGCCACCAGGTCCAGGACCCGAACCGCCGTCGGCTACATGGGAGTCCAGAGACATAGCCATTATGCTAACTGTTGGTCCCCCCAAGAAGGGAGGTCTTTAAGCGGTGATTAGGGCCCAGCCTCAATTGTGTAAGTAGTAGCATGCCACATAGGAGGATCCCAGACCAATCTAAACAGGTCAGGCATGGTGGCACATGCTTTTAATCCCAGTCAACCGGGAGGCTGAGGAAGAGGATCACAGTGGTGAGACCCTGTGAAAAATGCCTCTTTTTTCTTTTTCTCTCTTTCCCCCTCTTCCTGCTCTTATACTCTCTTTCTCATAAAAGAAAGTAAAATAAAAAGAAGTGATTGTGTCACCAGGGCTCCTCCCAGTAACTGGGAGTAAGTGCCGTTATGAAGAGGCTTGATGGAAGAAGGTGGCCCCTTTGCCATTTCTGCCTTCTGCAAAGTGAGGACGCATATTCCTCCTCTCCAGAAGACACAGTGAAAAGCCCCTCACCAGAACCAGAGGCCACTACCTTGACCTTGGGCTTCCTGGCCTACAGAACTGTGAGACATAAATGTCTGTTCTTTATAAATGACTCAGTCTGATATTTGATATATCAGCACAAATGTACTAAGATAGTAGCATCCTGAGAAAATGAGGTTCTGCATTGTATGTCCGATGAACGCCTCTGTCTTTCTCTTGTATCTTTGCCACACTTTTTACTCCTCAGCCAGTTGCTGCTTAAAAGCAGTGTGTCAGGGAACTTACCGCCTACTGAGAGAAGTCATTCCAGTGTTAAACAAACCTAAGTACTTATTATTTTCTAGCACTGAATTCAGACCTTCCTCCTGATCATGTCTATTCTTATTTGACTTTGCATGGCTGTGGAAAACTCATAAAGTACTTCATTTAACAGTTCTTCAGATACTCGGGCCTGCAGTCACTTCCACCATTCGCTTTTGTTCTCCAGCCTAAACTCGCGTTCTTTTATTCTTGTTAGTCTCTCATCTCAGTTAACATCTTCTAGCTTCCGGGCACCACAGTTTGTACCGAATAGGACAGCACCAGGGCCGTGGTTTGTGGCACTTCAATAGAAACCCAAGCAAATAAGCAACACAGTTTTTCAATCGGTGCTGACTCTGCTTGACAAGACAGGCCCTCTAGTTTAGCGACTTTAATTTAGTTGTTTAAAACTGAAGTTGTTGTTTCCCTCTGTGTGTTGCCTGGTTAATTACCAATTTACTAATGATTGACTAAATCTCTTAGGTGAAATCAAGAGGTTTTGTCCTTTTTTTTTGGAGATATTTTCACTGTAGGGCGCGTGTGCTCGCCAGACAGACAGAGAGAGACATAGAGACAGAAAGTGAGAAATCACCCCCCAGGGGGGATGGTCACGCCGCAATCCCTTCTCCTCCATAAACTCGCGTTCTTTTATTCTTGTTAGTCTCTCATCTCAGTTAACATCTTCTAGCTTCCGGGCACCACAGTTTGTACCGAATAGGACAGCACCAGGGCCGTGGTTTGTGGCACTTCAATAGAAACCCAAGCAAATAAGCAACACAGTTTTTCAATCGGTGCTGACTCTGCTTGACAAGACAGGCCCTCTAGTTTAGCGACTTTAATTTAGTTGTTTAAAACTGAAGTTGTTGTTTCCCTCTGTGTGTTGCCTGGTTAATTACCAATTTACTAATGATTGACTAAATCTCTTAGGTGAAATCAAGAGGTTTTGTCCTTTTTTTTTGGAGATATTTTCACTGTAGGGCGCGTGTGCTCGCCAGACAGACAGAGAGAGACATAGAGACAGAAAGTGAGAAATCACCCCCCAGGGGGGATGGTCACGCCGCAATCCCTTCTCCTCCATTCTCCTCTCGGGATCTTGGGCACGCACACACACGCGCCCGGCGTGAGTTTTAAGCCACCAGGTCCGGGACACAAACTGCGGTCGACTACGTGGGAGTCCAGCGACATAGCCATTACACTAACTGCTGGTTCCCAGGTTTTGTCTTTTTTAAGAGTCAGCTCTTAGCTAAAGAACAGAGTCTTACCAGATAGGAATTAAACAAAAACAAGCTTTACAAGGTTCTCCTATCTCCTTGAGACCCATTAAGGGAGCAGGGGCGGTTTTTACCTTGGGAAACAGTAAGGAGGCAGAGAGTTAAGCACCATGTTTGTGCCCTACAGTCTTTGAGGAGCGTTGGATCAGCTGTTCCAAGTTAGGGGTAGAACAGCAATTTTTTCCACGTAACAACAGGTGTAATAACAATGGCACAAACTAGAGGGCACATCACATTACATCAGACTGGTCCAAAGAGAAGGCTCCATCCTTTCTTTTTTAGCTAGATGTATTCATGGTTCTCACTGAGGGTGGCTAATACGTTATTACACTGTTCATGCTAAGTAACATACCAGCCCTCTTTGTTAGATCACTGAAAACCAACCACAAGTACATTCAAACAGATGTGCTTAAATTCAAAATGGTGGACTAAAGCATAGACGAATCATTTTGCATATTATCTAAGGCCTACAAACTTGAACTAATTTAGGGCCATTCTGGTATCTAAAATGCAGACAGTCTCATATACAAGGAGAGACGGTCTCCCTATAATGTAGTGTTTCCTTAGAGGACTCAAGTTCCTCGAGAGCATATTTCAGAAAAACCAAAAAAGAACAGTGTTTTAATAAGTAATTACCATTTAACTCTGGCCTATAGGAGACCATTACAGTATTATGTAGCCAAACTCTTACCAACAGTTCTTACCAACTCTTACCAACGCCATTTGTCATAGTATTCCTATAGGAAATTATGTTTAATCTTATAATAAGAAAATTCAGCATTAACCAGTGAGGTAGATGACAATAATTTATAGTCCAGTGACCAAAATGCTGTAATAGAAATATATATATATTTTTTGAGAGGTTTTTCGCTATAGGGCGCGTGCTCTCGCCAGACAGACAGAGAGAGACAGAGAGACAGAAAGCGAGAAATCACCCCCCAGGGGGGATGGTCACGCCGCGATCCCTTCTCCTCCATTCTCCTCTCGGGATCTTGGGCACACACGCACACGTGCCCAGCGTGAGTTTTAAGCCACCCGGTCCGGGACGTGAACTGCGGTCGACTACATGGGAGTCCAGTGACATAGCCATTACACTAACTGCTGGTTCCCAATAGAAATATATTTTGTGATGGGAAGGGCCAAGATCAATTTTTATTTATTTATTTATTTTTTAGGTTTTGTCATAAGACACATGACTTCCCAGAGAGAGACAAAGAGAGGGAAACAGAAATCACCCTCAAGAAGGATGGCCACATTGTAATACCTTGTCCTTCATTTTCCTCTTGGGATTTTGGACATGCATGCACATGTGCCCAGCCTCATTTTCAAGCTGCCAGGTCCAGAACTTGAACTATGGTCATGTGGGACTCCAGTGCCTTAACTATCATGCCACCTGCTGGCTCCAATTTTAAGGAAGCAGAATCACATTATTGTTTTTTGTTTGTCTATGTCTTGATTTTTCCCCTCAATTGACACATTACTTAAATAGGGAGAACTGACTTATAATTTCAACATAAATTGATTAAAATTAACATTGTACATCTTTTTTTTTTTCTTAAAAAGGCAGTCAAATTTGACTTAGGAAGCTCTTTTAGAAACAAAATAGAAAGCCAAAGGGGAATGTACCAATTAGATCTCAACATTGTGGGTTTACAATTCAGCCATCATCCGCTCTTCAATCAAGAACAAGTGTTATGTGCCAGGCTGCTTCAGCTTTATGAATGTTTTCAGGACAGGAAGCAACAGAATTTACCTCAGCTGCTTTATGAGAAGGTGAGAATGACTTTGTAGTATTTATAGAGTGGAACATTTAATATTGAAAGAAAAATTCTTAGTACTGAGCAAGTTACCATAGAACACTATCTCTAGCAATTTAAACTATTTAACTGATTAAAACAATGGTTTGATTTCAGCTTTTCTGAAAAGAAATTGTAGGGAGAGACCAAGGCAACTGAATGTCTGCTCTAAACCCCACCTTCCAGACTCCAAAACTCAGAAAGAAGCTATTTATATCCAAGGTGTGTCCTGCCGTGTTCAGGGACCAGGGCAACTGAATCTCTGCTCTAAACCCTATCTTCTGGACCCCAAAACTCAGACAGTTGCAGAAACCTTCTTCAACCAATTAGCCAAAAGTGAATACACCATCAAATGACTAAAATTCAGAGAAGAAAGAGTGCAGAGTGAGCAGAAGGGAGATGTATGGAGCTTCAGAGAGAAGCTGGCTCGTATCTTCCCACATGCCGCTGAACTCTCAGTTGAAACCCTGCAGTTCAGCTCAGGTATTCCCTAGAAACTCTGAGGCCTTTGTAATATCCAGTTCCAAAGTCAAAAGTGCAGGTTGCTTGGTGAGCATCAGGGAAATGGAACTGCAGAGAGATTGCAGATCACCTCCTCCCTCACATCCCTGAATGCTCAGAATTAACTCCAAGAAATTAGGAAGAAATGTATAATACATCGGATGGCCAGAAACCAGAGACACAAGAGATATGAGAAACCAAGAAAACATCTCTTCCCCGCGGGAAAAAAACAGCCCTTCATCATCCATGACATTTCAGTGGAACTCATGAAAATGTCCAATAGAGAATTCAGAATATTCATAGTGACAAAACTAAATAAAGCAAAAGAGATGAGAGAAAATGAACTTCAGAAGGTGCAAGAGAAAAGAGACAATGAGTTCCAGGAAGTGAGGAAGTTATTTCATGGTTTGAAAGAAGAAATACACACTATAAAAAAGAATCAAATGGAGCTGTTAGAGATGAAGACTGTAAGAAAGGAAATCAAAACCTCCCTTGAAAGTATTAAAAACAGATTAGAGCATGCAGAAGATCAAATCTTGGGGGTTGAAGACAAAACTTCTGACCTAGGAAAAAATCACCAAAAAGACAAAAAAAAAAAAAAAAAAACCACACACACACACACACACACACAATTTAGCATAATATACCAGAAATGCTAGATACCATTAAGCACCCAAATAGCTGGATAATCGGTATCCCAGAAGGTGAAGAAACTGATAAGGACATTGAATTATTCCATGAGATCCTGGAAGAAAACTTTCCAAACCTAGAGAGGTGTTTAAATATCCAGACCCAAGAAGTACAAAGGACCCCTAATAGAATCAACCCAAGAAAATCTTCTCCAAGGCACATCATAGCCAGATGGGCCAAATCCACAGACAGACAAAATACTAAAATTGGCCAGAGAGAAATGTCAGGTTACTTATAAAGGTTATCCTATCAGGCTAACATCAGACCTCTCATTGGAAACAATGTGAGGAAGGAAAGAATGGGAAAACATACAAAGTATTAAATAAGGGACCAGCAGTTAGTGTAATGGCTATGTCGCTGGACTCCCATGTAGTCGACCAGGTTTGCGTCCCGGACCCGGCGGCTTAAAACTCACGCCAGGCACGAATGCGCCCAAGATCCCAAGAGGAGAATGGAGGAGAAGGGATTGCGGCATGGCCATCCCCCCGAGGGGTGATTTCTTGCTTTCTGTTTCTCTGACTCTGTCTGGCTGGCGAAAACACGCACCCTATAGCAAAAACCTCTCCAAAAAAAAAAGTATTAAATGAAAAACAAATTCAACCAGGAATACTATACCCAGCAAGATTATCCTTTATATGGGAAGAAAAGACAAGAACATTCTCAGATAAACAAAACCTGAAAGAACTTACCAACACCAAACCTGCTCTTCAAGAAGTTCTGAAGGGAGTGTTTTAGTAGGAAAACTAAAGACAGACAGGCAGAAATAAGAGAACAAAAAGCAACCAAGAAAATGACCAAATTAATGATAGAGACAAGCCCAGAAATATCAAGAATAACATTGAATGTTAACTTCCAGGATTTAAACAGAAAGATCAAACCACAATAACACTGCAAATTAAACAGAAAAGAGATTAGTTACATGAGACTGAACTGGTAAAATAGAATTTTATGACTTTTGACAAAAACATTGCTGGTTTTCTTTAATGCTTTGTTTTCTAGATTTAAGGATTTTGCTTTCTTTTCAGTTGCTGGTAGGTTCAGCAATTTCTTCAAATGTTTGTTTGTTTTAAATTGAAACATAAACTTTTCTCCCTTCCTCACCCCTGTGTAATTAGAAAATATTTGGGAGTATTCTTATTTATAGCTGAATGGTTATTTGCATAAGTTCAATAAAACCTGTAGCCTAGCACCAGAAATTGGAAATACTATTGCCAGGGCTTTGACTGGAATGTCATATCTGAATATATGACCAGAAAGCTATGGAACTAAAGTAGATCTCAAGAAAGCCAACAGAAGCTCTTGGAAAGATGGCCTGGCACCATGAACAGCTCTGCCTGGAAGAGAGGATTAGAAAAGCCACAGGAAAGAATTCGTACCATACAATAACCTAGACTTTTCCAGCCCAGCTTTGTAGTCAGTAGAGATTGCAAAAGAGCAACCACAACCAAAGGATTAACTCGAGGAAGACTCTGAAGGAAGAAAAAGAGACCAATCTTAGCTGGCAGATGGTAAACCACAGAATTCTCGGTAGGCAGGGCTGAGTAGAGAATGTTCATATGTGAACAGTGTGCTGGGTGTTTGCTTTTCAACAGTTTGAGTAGTTGACATGAATTTTTTTTTCAAAAATATTTTAAATCATACTGTATATATTTATATATATTATAGAGCCATAAATAAAATTATGACATATTTTTAAAGTTATCTCTACACTCCAGTTTTTCTCATTTTGAAAGTTGTTTATTAATTGTCACGAACTATGGAGTATGAGCAAACGTTTTTGATATGTAAAGTAAGTGTTTGTGGGAAAATGTAAAATAAATAAATAAGAAAAGAAATTGTAGGAATCAACTGGCAGGGGAAAGGGCTTCAAACATGTCCTGCAGGATGTTTTACCAAATAGGAGTGGTGTAATAGTCAGTGGTGTTCTTGGTCCTATAACTCCAGAATAGTATTTAAATAATTACTACTTAAAAGAGCCATGTGCCTATTTTAAGTCTTGAGCTGAAGTATTTTTTATAAAAGTCTTAATGATTTTGAATATCATCTCAACTGTGAAGGGTATTGGTCTGAGGATAACTAATCCAGATAGTCATCTGATGACATCATAAAGAGTCTATGAAATCTGAACTCAGAAGAGTACCCACTGACTATTATTTATTTATTTATTTACTTTTTGGAGAGGTTTTTGCTATAGGGCATGTGCGCTCACCGGAAAGACAGAGAGAGACAGAGGGACAGAAAGTGAGAAATCACCCACCAGGGGGGGTGGTCACGCCTCAATCCCTTCTCCTCCATTCTCCTCTCGGGATCTTGGGCACACATGCACACACGCCTGGCATGAGTTTAAGCCACCGGGTCCGGGACTTGAACCGCGGTCAACTACATGGGAGTTCAGTGACATAGCCATTACGCTAACTGCTGGTCCCCACCACTGAGAATTTTTAGAAACCTGTATCTTTTACTTAAACTCTTCTGGGTTTTCAATATGTGAACTTTCCTTAGCGAGTTTTCTCTCAGAAAAAGTCTTTTGATAGATCTCATTCAACTAATAAATATCTCTGAAATGGAATACCTAGTAAGGTATTTAATGAAACATTCAATCCTGATGTAGTTACCAAGACATCTCAATAAACGACATTAATTGTACCTTAACAAATACTGCTTTTTAAAGCACAAGTGCAAAACCCACAGGACTTTATGTAATTGATTGGAGATTTTCATGTAGCAATTGTGTGGGTGAGGAACACTATGAATTAATAACATCAGAATACATAACAAGTGTTGATTATTCTAACTACGATATGGCCGTCGTTTCTATGGATGGAGGAACCAACTCTGAAACTACGATGTTAGTCATTAAAAAAGTGCTTTGAGTCACAGATTTCTGCTTTATAGGATCTTTTCCCCTACAAGTCAATGTAATGTTAAAATCTGACTGAACAATAATAATTCTGTTTTATTAGAGTACTACCTATTAATGTATTGAGTCATCAGAAAAGTCATGACACGTTTGCACAGAAAAATACGTTGTGGGACCAGCAGTTAGTGTAATGGCTATATCGCTGGACTCCCGCGTAGTCGACCGTGGTTCGCGTACCGGACCCGGTGGCTTAAAACTCACGCCGGGCGCGTGTGCGTGTGTGCCCAAGATCCCGAGAGGAGTATGGAGGAGAAAGGATTGTGGCGTGACCATCCCCCCTGGGGGGTGATTTCTCGCTTTCTGTCTCTCTATCTCTCTCTGGCGAGCGCACGCACCCTATAGCAAAAACTTCTCAAAAAAAAAAAAAGTTGTGGTTTTTCTTGTGACCCAGTATATAGTATATAGACTCTAGATTTAATTTTTCATGTAGTAATGCATGGCTCTCTATGTAAAATAAAAGCCTTTCACAATATTTCCGTATTATTATTAATCATTAGGAGCCAAAGGTAATTTCTTAGTTCATTTTACTTTTCTTCAAGTTATTATCTTTTTGTTAAAGAATTGTTTAATTTAACCTTTTAAATTTATTTTAATTTGACCAGAGAGCGACAGAGTAAGAGAAAGAGAGAAGGGAAAGTGAGGAAACGAGCTGCCTTTTAAATTTATTTTAATTTGACCAGAGAGCGACAGAGTGAGAGAAAGAGAGAGGGAAAGTGAGGAAGTGAGCTGCCAGTCTGGGACTTGAACCATGGTCGGTTATGTGGGAGTCCAGTGCCCTTAACCACCATGTCACCTGCTGGCCCCTACATTTATTATCTTATATGAATATGTATCAGTATTTTCTTCAATTTTCCAGTGAATTGTAAAAGTAGAAACTTGGTAGACCATGTGTTATCATTTTCTTTTGGAAGTGGAGAAGAGCAGTAGATGTGGAGAGAAGACAGAGCATTGCAGAGCGCATCCTTTGGCCTCCTCCCAAAACACTGACTTGTTTAAACAGAAATGTATCGATCCACTTAGCTCCTCGGTGTGAAATATATGACTCTTCACTGTTCTCAGACCAATTCAGAGTAGTGGGAGACTCACTGACATTCAAGGAATTCTTAAGCAAGAACGTGCTCCTTTGTATGCTACGAACCCTGTTTAAACACGAGCGACATTGCAGATGGGGCAAGAGAGCGGGAGGGATGGCTGCTTCGTCCAAGGCCCGCTGGGCACACGCCATGTGCCACAGTGTCTCTCCCTCGACTCCCAGCAGGTTTCCACTGGAACTAAATCATGTGATCGTCCCTACACCAGTCACTGGCAGGAAGAAGGAGATTGCTCTAAAGAGCTGCACTGATAGGAGTTGATCTTGAAACACAGGGAAGGTGACTGAGCAATTGAACAAAATTGGAATTCTGCAGCCAAGAAAAATGATCCTTCAGGGGCAGCCCTTAGTGTTGACAGACCGAAATCATAAAGATATCTTTCTAAGTATCATTTTTATCTGTCCATGTCAGAATGGTAATGTGCCAATGTCATGAGAGGGCTTGGGTAAGGTGTATCTGACGAGATAGCATAGGAACGAATCCAATCATGTTTATGAGCCACAAGATTAGTTGGTGATGTGTAAGTATATTAAGGATGTGTGTGTGTACTTATGTGTGTATGCATGCATGCACCTGTGTGTGTGTGTGTGTGTGTTTGTGTGTGTGTGTGTGTATGTGTGTGTGTGTAGGCGTAATTTCTAGCCTTTTATTCCATCTAGAATTTACATCTGTGTTTTGGGTGAGCCTGGGCTTCAACTCAATTCTTTCCCGCAGAGGGTTAGCCTATTACTCAACATCACCATTTCCCTATTGATTAAAAATAATGTCTTTCAGGGACCAGCAGTTAGCGTAATGGCTATGTCGCTGGACTCCCACGTAATCTACCGTGGTTCGAGTCCCAACAACAACAAAAATAATGTCTTTTCCCAAACCAGCTACTCATACATGTACAAGTTTGTGTAGGGACTGCCTGGCCCCCTGAAATATTGGTCTAGTCCTGCCCTACTTTTGTTACCCTAATTATTAAACTACAATGCATGACGGACGAATACCACCTCACTACTGTCATTTTCTAGAATGTTTTTCAGTACTCTTGCAGATTTTATCTTTCGTACAGACCTCAGAATTAACTCATCACCTTCTATTTTAAAAATCCCATTACCATTGTATTGCTTACATTATATTTTGGAAAAAAAATTGTATGTGTATAAAAATTGGGTTTCCTCAACCAGGAATATAAAACATCGTCCTATTTGTTTAGCTCTTCTCTTATGCGTTCCAGTGCAAGTTTGTATCCGTTGTCTGTAGTCTTCACGTTCCCATGAACTGCCCCTACGCATATTTTAGGGTATGGTTTCCTCCAGTCTCGTGTCTTTATGGGTATCGCTCTGTTTTATACCTTCTGCAATATGTCCTGTTCGCTTTGATTTTTTACTTTGTTATGTCGTTATGCACTGACTCTTCCATGGAGAGCTGTAGACGGTCCTCAGCACGTATGCATGACTAGAGAGGGTGCCACGCGGTATCTTTTCTGTGACCGTGGGGTTTGAGTGGATGAACATAAGGCAGATGCTCGTGTTCAGTCTGCCTTCTTTATGCCGGGCGATGAACCGACGGCCTATGTTCAGCATGTGATGTTTATTGCTAGGCTTTCCTCAGTTCTGCTCCACCCTGTTTGCGTCAGCTGTGTTTCAGAAGACGAAACAATGAAACACAGAAGAGCGGCAGGCTTTGCTTCCGCTGCACATTTCCAGATAGACTAATGAATGGCAGTAATGGTAACACGTGGGCAGATACACTGACGAGCTCTTCTCTTTGTTACAGCTGAAGGCACTGACAGACACCGCCAGACTAGCAAGTGAAAATGCAGAGGTAAACCAGATGACCAGGAACTGTTTGCAAGACTATTATTGGCAGATAAGGTAGGTTTTGAGCCATTCGTATATGCACCCAGCATGTATAAGTACCTCCTTTAGACCGAGTACTACACTGGCTATGGAGGATACAAAATAAGAAATGCACAGGACCTCTACCCCTTAGGGGGTTGCAGAAATGGTTCAGATCTTCCCTTGAGACCCATGTTTATGTAAAAACTATTTAACAGGGGCCAGCAGGTGGCGTGGTGGTTAAGGTTTTGGACTTCCACATGGCCAACTGCGGTTTGAGTCCCAGACCTGGCAGCTAGCTTTCCCTTTCTCTCTCTCTTGCTCTGTCTCTCTCTGGTGAGCACATGTGCCCTATGGCAAAATTTAAAAAAAATTAATAACAAAACTAAATAAATAATTCTTTAAAAAATATTTCACAGAAGTGTCATACGAAAACTGTTGTAGTTTTAATAACCATTGATTTTTTGTTTGTTTGTTTGATTGGTTTTTGTTTTTTGGTTTTATTTGGAGAGGTTTTTGCTATAGGACACATGTGCTCACCAGAAAGACAGAGAGAGACAGAAAGTGAGAAATCACCCCCTAGGGAGGATGCCCATGCCGCAATCCCTTCTCCATTCTTCCCTCGGGATCTTGGGCATGCACGCACACGTGCCTGGCATGAATTTAAGCCACCGGGTCCGGGGCTCGAACCACGGTCGACTACATGGGAGTCCAGTGACATACCATTATGCCATTTGCAGGTCCCAATAGCCATTGATTTTTAATACTTTTTTTAGAGGTAGTTTTGCTATAGAGCACATGTACTCACCAGAGAGAAAGAGAGAGACAGAGAAAGAAAGTGAGAAATTATTCCCTGGGAGAATAGCCACACCACAATCCCTTCTTCTCCATCCTCCTTCTGGGATTTTGGGCACATATGCCCATAAACCCAGCATGAGTTGCAAGCCACTGAGTCCTGGACTCAAACCAAACTCAGCCCTATGGAGTCCAGCACCTTAACCAGTATGCCACTTGCTGGCCCTGCCACTGATTTTTAAAAAACATGTTGAAGAATTACTGAATAATACTTTAAAATTTTACATAGATATATTAATCACAACTGTATATATTTGAGAATTAGTACACATTTACATATATGATTGATTTAGCCTAAACACAATACTTCATGAGTATATGGATTTAAGAACCTCTGTGTAAATATAGCTACAAGTTTGGAACCACTGGATTTAATAAAATTTTTAAAGTTTATTTATTACCATCATGAGGGTGTTGGGGAGAGAGAAAAGATACAGGCACCTTCAATGGCTTCTTCACACCACTAACCTTCCCCCAGGCCCTGCAGCCAGCCAGGACCATGGGTGCACCAGCAGGTATGCCCAGTGTGTTTAGGAAGACCCTGGTCATGAACCCGCAGTCTTCCCGTAGGGCCTCTTGCAGCATCCCTCCTGCCTGTGCCATCATGGCCCAGTCAGGAACCTTTGGCTTTAGACTAGTTGGGAAGGGAAGTTATGAAAATATGAAATAACTGAAAAAATATTTCCAAACAAAACATAAGCATGTGCCAAGCAATCTCTAAGATCGGGGAGATCACCAGAAGGTACTTACTGAGTAGAAAGTCCAACTGTGAACAAAGATATACGTTATTTATACGTAATTGATAGGTATAAGTTATTTATACGTTATCGATAGGTACAGAAATTCCCTGACTCCTTGCCCATTGACCTGATGTGGTTCTGTAAACTTTTAGTTGCTACAGGTAACAATTGATTTAAGTCATATTAATTTCCTTGAGTAGCCCATTTAAAAGCAGACAGTATTACTTGAAAAGGTTGACATATGCCTTACACAAGGCCTGGGCCATGGGACTACTCAATAAATATTAGTTCAATGAATGAATTAAAGCCATCAGCAATTGGGACAGGCAGTTGGTGTAATGGCTATGTCGCTGGACTCCTATGTAGTCAACTCCTATGTAGTCCTGAACCCGGTGGCTTAAACTCTCATCGGGCACATGTTTGGTGTAATGCCCAAGATCCTGAAAGAATGGAGGAGAAGGGATTGTGGCATGGCCATTCCCCCTGGAGGGTGATTTCTCACTTTCTGTCTCTCTGTCTCTCTCTGTCTTTCTGGCGAGTGCACATGCCCTATAGCAAAAGTCTCTCCAAAAAAAAAAAAAAAAAACAAAAAAAACAAAAAAAGAAGCCATCAGCTGTTATCAAACAGTAAACTAATGCTATTGACGATGTTAGCTGAAATCAAACATAGAACAGTAACACAGAATAAGTAAACTTTGATGCAGGAAAAAGAGAAAAAGGCTTTAGGTGGGGTCCAGCATTGGTGGGTGAGGGCACTATACTGTGTGTGTGTGGAGAAGGGGGTGTCCGGAAAGGTAATTGCTTTTATCGAAGCAGGAAAAATACAGTGTAATCGATTTCCATTCAGGAGACTGTCGGGGTGGCATTGAAATGCTAACCGTAGTTCAGTAGCTTTAGGAGACTTCTAAGGTGGAGGAGAATCTGACTCCTGCCCACCTCCCCAGCCTCATGTTAGGGCCTTGAACTTTATGGTCCAGTTTCTAAATGGGCTGTGCTAATGCTGCTGTATTTTTGTTTTTATGCCATTTCTTTCTAGAATGTTCTTTCATCCTTTTCTTAGTTGACTTACACGTTTTATTTCAATTTCATGTCACTCTCTCAGGGAGACTCTTATTTGCTCATTAGTTTAAATTAAAATTTCTTTCTTTAGATACTCACAAAACATGCTGTATTTCTCTTTTAGGAATACTCATTACCTTTGTACGTACTTGTTCTGTATTATTTGCGCTAGGATATTAGTTACCACTGCTCGGAACAGTTCCTGTCACATAATAGATATCTATTATGCATTTACCTTTGAAGTCTTTACTGACTGTTGATACCACTCTCTCACACGTGCCCAGGCTCTGGCTTGTGTGGCCTCTGTCATGACACCTACAACATTTTAGTGTGATGTTTTGCATGTCTGGTAGTTTCTTGAACTCTGAGAGCATTTTTGTTTTGTTTTTGTTTTCTTTTCTTTTCTTTTTTTGGAGAAGTTTTTTGCTGTAGGGTGCATGCACTTGCCAGACAGACAGAGAGAGACAGAGAGACAGAAAGTGAGAAATCACCCCCCAGGGGGGATGGCCACTCTGCCATCCCTTCTCCTCCATTCTCCTCTCGGGATCTTGGGCACGCACGCACACGCGCCCGGCGTGAGTTTAAGCCACCGGGTCCGGGACGCGAACCGCGGTGAACTACGTGGGAGTCCAGCGACATAGCCATTACGCTAACTGCTGGTCACTTGTTTTGTTTTGTTTTGGAGAGGTTTTTGCTATAGGGTGTGTGCACTCACCAGAAAGACAGAGAGAGACAGAGAGACAGAAAGCGAGAAATCACCTCCCGGGGGCGGGGGAGATGGCGATGCTGCAATCCCTTCTCCTCCATTCTCTCAGGATCTTGGGCACGCATGCACACGTGCCCAGCGTAAGTTTAAGTCACCAGGTTTGGGACTTAAACCGCGGTTGACTACATGAGAGTTCAGCGACATAGCCATTACGCCAACTGCTGGTCCCAGCATTTTTAATTTTACATCTCTTTATCTGCCCTGGACCAGCACAATGCCATATAATAAGCACCAAATAACATTTGCTGAACAAGTGGATTGCAAACAGGCTTTTATTTTTAGGAATACTGAATACCAGATTAAGGTATGCCCCTAATGAAAACCACCTAGAACATCTGATGGAGTACCAGAGTCACCTTCATGTACATGTGGCTGAGATGGCAAGAGGAAAGAGAATCTGCAGAAGTCAAAAGCAAAGTGAAAGAAAAAAACCCTTTTCCCTAGAAAATTGGGGAACGATAAAGCCAGCTTTTACTCTGAGGCTATTTGCTAAATACTAGTAACCTTGAGCTTCATTCAGATGGTTTAAAGGCAGAAGAGAAAGCCACATTCAACAGAACTGGAAACATCTAATGAGAAAACACTGTATGACGGGTGTTAAATGTCAGAAAAGGAGAGTGGGAAAGGGCTGACGAACTTGTCTCTGCCTTGATTCTAGGCAGAAGGGGGAAATTCTCTTTTTTTGAGAGTTTTGTGCTTTAAGGTACATGTACTTGCCGGAGAGAGAAAGAAAGAGAGAGAGACAGAGACAGTGAGAGGGAACGAGAACCACCCCCAGGGAGGATGGCCGCCCTGCAGTCCCTTCTCCATTCTCCTCCTGGTCTCTTGGGCATGCACACACATGTGCCTGGCGTGATTTTGACCTGGTCCGGGACTCAAAACATGGCTGGCCATGTGGGAGTCCAGTGATGTAAATTGTCTGCCATCTGCTGGTCCTGGAAAACTCTCTTTAAAAATCCACAGTCGTGGGCCTGCAGGTGGTATGGGGAGTAAGGTGCTGGATCCCACGTGGCCGACTGCACAGGTTGAATCCCGGGCCTAGCAGATGAAGAACATGCTGGGCGCATGTGTGCGTGCATACTCAAAAATTCCTAGAGGAGAGAGGATGTCAGCATAGCCATCACTCTTGAGGGATAGTTTCTCCCTTCCCCCTCTGTCTCTCTCAGGAAAGCACACATGCCCTATGACAAAACTCTAAAAAGAAGAAAAAAGTAACAGTCACAGTCAGCCTTCATTCATGTTTATGTCCTGAATATATAGTACGTGTGTGCTCTAAAAGCTCAGATTTAAAATTTAACTTAAAATAGTGCTAGAAGGGTAGTGACACCAGAGATTTAGCAAAACAAAGACTCTGTGGAGAATGGTTCACAGATGTGAACGTAACTAAGAACCATCAGCACACACAAAAAGTCGTAACCTGTTTTCCTGTCACATGCAAGGACACCATGAGCAAGAGCCAGCAGAAATAATAGAAAATGCCTACAAGTAAAATGAATGAAATGATCAAAACCAGAAAATACTATAACTTTGTTGAATGCAATTAAAAATAAGAGGCAAGCTTGAAAATATGGTATACTAACAATAGATAGTAAATTACTGAGTAATTTGGGGGGGTG